CCATCCAGATTTTCCCATGCTGACCCATTACCACATTCTGCCACTGTCACTGCAGTACAGGTCAAAATGGTACAGATTTGTACTTTATTTCAAATTGTACCTTTAAAGGGGCATTTCTGGACTTTTAAAGACCAGTATTGTACTTTTAAGGGAACATTTTAAAAAAAATGTACCTATAGGTACAAAAATGTTCTTCTCTTGTACCTCTATTTCTGAGAGTGTAGTAAAGCTTTAGTTATTTTAGTAAAGAGTTTAACCAATCAAAACGCAATGCGCATGAATCTCCCCACCCCCAACCACCATAATGTCAAACTGCTTGACTGTGACAAGTCATTGAGCGAGTAGGAGGCAGAAGAAAAGCCGACTCTAGTTTTACAGAAAAAGACAAACGAAAAGAAATAAAAGAAGAAGAAGAAGAATCGTCATTTCACTCAGACAGCGGCTGTATATTTGTTATCATCTATTATGTGTACCTGCTGCTCAGACTCAAAGAAACCCTCTTTCATTGTTACTCTCTGGGCTTTTATGCTGTGCTTCATTGTCAGGAGTCCTGCTCAAGGTAAACGGATCCATTTATTAAACCACCTCAGCATCCGTGTGTGTTTGGATCGGCGCCGTAACTGTTACATTTATGTTCTGCACTGCAATGAGCGACTTTCCTCTCACGTTTGCGCGTTTATGTAGACTTAATGTGAAGAAACTTTAAATAGTCGAACATTAAAAATCAAATCGTATCTGAAAATATGAGCGTCCTGTCTTTGTGTTCAGATCTAACGAGTTCAAACGGCGTTTATTTAAAGCTGGGGTTTACGTTATGGTTGTCTAGCAACCGATAGATGCTTAAACATAGAAGAACAGGACAAAAGGACACGTCGGGTTACGAACGATGAAAGCTGGTTTATTATTAGGAAAACATTCACATAGGAGCAGAATTACAAAGTCTTAATAGCTTTTTAGCTTTTCTGGGAGATATATTTGACTCAGAACTCTTTTATTTTGTTTTTAAGATCAAAAAAATAGGTTTAGATTTAGAAAATGTATATTTATTTATTATAAAGGACTCCAAGATTAAATCTGAAAAAAACCCAAGAAAACCCCCAGACACTGAAGTGGAGCTCAAAGGTTCAGATAATCTGATAATAATCTGTCTGATCTGATTTGTAAAAGATCGGCCTGTAGCTGGTCAGAGAGGTTTGTGACCTTTCTTCATCTCTTCCTGGTTGTGAGGTTAATTAATCAGCACCTCCTGATGTTTCAGTGACTTGAAGTCATCATTTATGCTCTGATGATTTCAGTATGTTGAAGTTTCTCCCAGAAGCAGCTGTTCTCTGTATTTCCTCTTGACATTAAAAATTAATAGTGAGCTAGAAGGACAACATGCTGACTGCTTTATTAAATCTGCTGACACTGCATGTGTCTCATCCACAGGCAACAGCTGCTATTTTCCATTTCAACAAATGATTAGCACCACAGAGAGATCAGTCAGAGCCCTGTATCCGCTCTTACCTGACCTGCGATATAACAGGTTAAAAAGTGAAACAAATACTAACCACTCACAGCAGATGGCTGCACCTCCCCTGAGGCTGGTTCTGGAGGAGGTTTCATCTCGTTAAAAGGAGTTTTTTCATTCCACTGCCGCCAACTGATTGCCCATTAGAAGAATCGGATTGTTAGTGTTTTTCCAGAAATACTGTAGGATCTTTATCTTACAGTATAGAGCACTTTGAACAGACAATTTTTGTAATTTTAGCACAATATATAAAACGGAATTGAACTGAATCTCTTCACTAAGTTTTTGGGAAAATAAGACTTTTTTTAAATGAAAAAACAGTTTTTGTATCCCAAGCACAAAAACTGTTCAGGTTGTCAGTGTGTAACTCCACAGGGGTCTGTGGGAGTTCGGGAGAATTGATTTTTCGTATTTCCAGGTAAGGTTGTGGTGATTGGTTCAAATCTTCCAATCATCGCCGCTCCGGGTGATGATGTCATCCTGCCGTGTCACCTGGAGCCCACGTTCGATGTCCAGGGTCTGACGGTGGAGTGGTCCAAACCCGACCTGAAGCCCGACCCGTCGGACCGGCTGAGCCGAGTGGAGTACGTTCACCTGTACAGGGACAGGCAGGAGGTCCCCGACATGAAGATGGCCTCGTACTTCAGGAGGACGGAGCTGTTCATGGACGACATGAAACACGGGAACATTTCACTGAAGATCCTGAACGTGTCGGAGGAAGACAACGGCAGATACAGATGTTTCATCCCCAAGCTGCGGAGCAGAGTGAAAGCTGCTGTTGTTGAACTTGTAGTCGGTGAGAAGATTTGTTTGGTTTTTAACTCATTTCCAACTTTTCAGGCAAGTTTCACAAACAGATTTCGACTCTACTGGTTTTTGAGGTGTTTTTTGTTTTGTTTTTTAGATCCAAACAATACTAAAAACCTGACGACAGACAGACCACTGCATCCCCAAATCCTCCAAACTCCAAATCCTCAGGACACGACTCCAAGAAATAGTGAGAGTCCAACAGTCCAACTTTCGTCTGCATCATTTCCATTTGAGAGATATTTTTAGTAAAACGTTTTCATACATCAGCAGGTCGGTCCAGGGTCTCTGTGGTCGTCGTTATCTTTGCCTTTATATCAGTTGTGGCTGTCGCTGCTTTCGCTCCATGTTTCTCTGACCGTGTAAATGTAAGAAACAAACAAATAGACACAAACTTGTTGTTGATTCTTTGTCATCAGATTGGCTAATTTTTCACCTTCTTTCAACAGAAGCAACCAGAGGATGATGAGACGCAAAGATAACAGTAACCTGGCATTGTTAGGAACGCTGGTGTTAATGGAGCTGAGAGCGTTAGAGCTTTATCTTCCCTGGATCTTCAGTCAGGTTGGGAATTCAAACCAGCAGCCACAGAGAGACACTCGGGTCCAGCAGCACTGAGATCATCATAAGGTCACTCCTACAAAAGGATGTGAGTCTGACTGGGGTTTGAATCTTGACGCCTCACCTGAACAGCTGTGTGAAGTACACTTATAGAGCCTAAAAACACATCTAAAATAAAGCATTGTACTCTTAGGAAAACTTAACACTAAACTAATTTTATATTAAGATCAAATGAATAACAGAGAAGTTTTGAATGTAAGTGGGTTGGGATGCAATGAAGCAATGGTTCTTGGATTTAAATGTGACCTATGAGGTAATTTTGTTTCCAAAGTGTGATTGTTTCCCACATCGACTCACGTTGGTTAAACTATCTCACTGTGGAAAACACTGAAGAGTTTATTCAAGGTTAAAAATAAATTCCAAATGTGCTTCCTGGTGATCATAAAGAGCTCTGGTCAGTGGAAAAACCCCTACCTCCCCAGTTTGAAATGTCAGGTTACAGTTAAACCATTATACTTAGTTTTCTTGGAATTATTTTTAGAGTTACTGGAAATTGTTAAATGCAGAACGATCAGCTGGTTTCAAGATATCTTTAACTTGTGGTCTCATTATGTAGCTCCAGTAGCTAATAGCATTTGATTTATTATATTTATTTATTTATTTAATTACTTATTTTCCAGCTTTAGTTGTGATCAAGTGCTGGCTGATGTGCATCACCTGCTGAAAGGCAGTCTGGTTTGGAAGGTTGTCCAGGATGATCCCAGCGTCCACTGCAGATCACAGCGTGTGAATATTCTGAAGATTTCAAAAGCATCAGCAGCTTTCAAGTGACAAACACTGGATTTATGGAGTTCATATAGAGACGTCTTTTGTTTTATTGACTGTATTGTGGAAACGGAGTCTTTGATAGTTCATTTGATCAGATCTGATTGTTTTTCTTACTTCACATGTTTTCTTTTGTTTTTTCTACCATCTTTAATGTCTCAGTGAAACTGAACTGTGAGTTGAGTACTTGAAGTACAGAAAGACCTCCTGCACTGTGTTAATTAACTCCAGCACTTTGTCAAATGTATGTGCACTGATACAGTCGTTCCTTCATTTAACCACACTTGAATTTAAAAGATATTCTGTAGTGACTGGGTTTAAGGTTAAAAGGAATGGCTAATTTATTACATTTATTTTGAACCTACTACTTGAAAGGTTGGTGGTTCGATCCCCGTCTGCTCCAGTCTTGATGCCAAATATCTGTAATATAATCTATCATTTTCTTATACAGCCCACTGTCAGCCTTTTCCTTTACCCCCTCTCTCTTTGCTGTGTGCCTTGCCTATCAGTGCTACACTCTGCTTTTTTCATCTGCCTGGCTTTCCCACTTTTTCTTATCTAACCTCTTTCTTTGAATATTTTCCCGTACTTCCTCATACCACAGCAAACTTTCAGTGTCTTCTTTCCTCTGTCCAGAGTTTCGCTCAGCACTACGGCTCTACTTTTCCCAGTCACCTGATAACTCTTCCCTACCACCCAGAGCCTTTCTCAGCTCTTATCTGAACTCTATGAAATATTCTTCTTTCCTCAGCTTCCACCATAAACTCCTTGGATCTCCCTTCGTTTCCTCTTCTAACTGACATCCAACCTGTGGGACAAACGCTCTGACAACTTTCAACAACGTGCTGAAATAATGCCAAGTGTCCTTCCTGACCCAAGCCTCCCCCATGTCCCTCTTATGATACGCCAAAATCCACACTAATATGCATATGTAAAAAGACAACACAAATTTGACAATACAGCGTTATATTCAGTATTGGGTAAACAATATATAAGTATTTTTGTAGACTGAGAGATTAAAAAATGCGTCAATGTGAATAACTGAGTCATGGCTCGGGCTGACGGTAGATAGCTGAATGAATTTGAAGCGACATATAATCCTTAACTTGTTTGATTTTAGGTGCTCACCACCAAAAGATTGTTACAACAGTCTGAGGGAGCTTTAACCTGGTTACCTGGTTGTGTATCTGCTCTCTGAATTGTATCATGCTGCTAATCTTCTTTCAGGTCATTTGAGTTTTTTAACATTCGTCAGTGTGTTTTCCTTCTTATTACCTGTTGGCATCTTGCTTTGATTTTGCGTGAACAATGTAACAGCACCATCCATCAGATGTGTGCTATGTGAAGATGTTTTAAACAATTTTACAGTTTAGTAAAAGTGTTTGTTTTTCTTATTATTATGTGAGAGACACAGACTCAAACCAGCAACCTGCAGTTTATAACTCAGCTGATCATGTCCCACCCAAGTTACCCACCCGGGTTTGGCAAAGTAGATCCAGCCCTGCTGAAGCTTTTCAACCACATCTGTGCGCTCAAACCGGTGACATATTTAAAGGGTTTTAAACATTTCAAGGCAGGAGCCCAACAAGATATCAGCAGGGACATTTACAAGGTCGACCAGCTGATAAACAATGAATCCAATGACAAAATGATCCATTTAAAATAAAAACAAGAAAAAAACAGAATAGCTTATCATCATGTATTTATGGAAAGATGGAACGTTCGACAGGCTATTCGCATGGAAACACAACAAGCACAGCTGTTACAGTATTAATACGATGATCGACATCCCCCACCTGCAGGAACATCCTGTTTTCTTTATTTGATTCCTGACAAAAGGTTTTTTACACTGTACACTCCACATGTGTGGTTACATCAGTTTCACAGTGAGCATGTTTGCAGTGGCGGTTTGCTCGTTTCTCCTCCTCTTCTTTTCTCTTTTTTCTAAACTGAGCACCTGATGGCTTTGAACTTTTCTTGTCCATCTTGGTTTTAATTTGCACTCCAGTATGAACACCCCTCCCCCAACCACAACATAACCTAATAGTTCCTATTAGTTCACAGATTCACTTTGTCTAAGGTTTATTTCTGGGATTTCGCACAACTCAGGATTGAACTCATGAATACATAATGGGCTTGTACTTACAACATTATGAATGAAATGTGCTCTATCTTGTGGGATTATAGCAGCCGGCCCCTCCCCTTTCGATGGGTTGTGTGTGAGACTTTAAATCCTCAAACTGTAAAATATAAATTTGAAATTGTTATTGATCCTTTACCCCGAGTCCTAAAGTGTATATTTATTTTCTTACTCTTCTTATATACATTGTTTGTTTACTTGCACTGCTGTAACTGGAGCCTCGTCGTCTCTCTATATTCTGCGGAGATGACACCAGGGGCGGAGC